TTCTCTGACATTTGCACGGCCCTGGTGCCGCCGCCTTGGTGTTGGCGTGTAAAGGGGTGTCCAGACAGGACACTACAAAACGCACGACTCCGACAAATCGTGAAAATTGAAGCGGGCGCGAAGCGGGCGCGTCCGCTTCAATTTTCACGATTTGTCGGAGTCGTGCGTTTTGTAGTGTCCTGTTTGGACACCCCTTAAGCCCGACGTTCAACCTCGGTTTCCTGCAGGGAAGATGATCCTCTTAGCGCTCGCCTTTCCTAAGCTGCGAGAGGAGCCAAGTTGGGCCAAGGTAAAAAGTGGAGAGGATATAGAAAAAGAGGAGGTGAGCAAAAGCGGAAAGTGCGAAGTGTACGTCGGACTTTTTAGGCCTCGCTAAAGGGTTCCTATGGTTACTAGACGGCTGCCCCCCAACAAAATGTCTTTTCACCCGCAGTGGCTATTCGCGTCTCCAGCTCGACGCTCGCCCTCCCGCGGCGGAAACAGGAAGCGCGCTAGTGAGGGTCTCCCGATTCTCCTGCCCAATGGGCACGGCGGAACTGCTCGCGATCGTGGCTCGCGAAATGTAATTTCCGAATGCAAACAACACTCTTCAATGTCCCAACGTAGTGCTGGAGCCGGTGTGGGATTGTACCTTACTGGAGAGTTTTAGTATTGTGTATAGAAGCAAACGCAAGTGGTGTGCGTTTGCGTTAGAGTTGCAAGTCCCACGTTGTGCGTGCGCCTCATCGCCCTGCGCCGCCAAGACCGCAATTTTGGGCTCCGCGCACGCGCAGTGAGGAACACGCAAAGCTATTGCGAACACACAGCTCTTGCGTTCGCTCGTATACGCAATACTAAAACTCACTACTGTATCACCGGCTTCCAACGCCAACGACACGTGCTGCAGTTATCAGACCTGAAAGCAAGTAGTTTCTTCGGACTGGAAAGGCTGAGATTGGAAAAAACGACGGAGCGTAAAAATGAGAGTAACTAAATAATGTAAAAAATTATTTTTATTTATTTTTTATTTTGGGGGTTTTTGGTTTGGAAGAATTATTTGGCGGCGATTTATGTTTTGCTGATTGTCAAAAGTCGCGACTTTGATAGAAACATATACTTTAAGCACAACTAATGTAATTTTACATGCATTTCTCAAAATAGCTAGAATGTTTTCATTGACTTTAACTATTTTTATTTTATTACTTGGTAATTAAAAATGCTGCGATTGGCACCAGTGATGATTATTAGCACACTTTTGATTGTCATATTTGTTCGCGCGTTTTAAGTTAGATCATAGGCAACGCTTGAAAAATTAGGTATTAGAATAGCATAATTTTAATATTATTATTAATACCAATCGCGGCAATTGTATGCCCCCAATTAACGCCAAGATCACGAAAATATGTCATTTTACCGTATTAGTCTATCCAGAAAGGTATAATTTTGTTTTCTTTTTAGCATATGAAAAAACTCTGAAATCGTTATCAAGATAGTCTAACAGTCAAACACTGGATGTAATATAAAGTCCTATGCGTCACGCCGTTACTATAAAACACACACACACACTTCAGCTGTCTAACTCGGATTTCGTCTTTGGGTTGCAGTGAGAACAGCGTTTATTAATTTATACGTTTTGTGGACATTTGTAAAAATTGGAATTCACTTATTCCTGTGCTGGGAATAATGTTAAACCAATTAATCACCTAAAGACCCAAAAATTCATTAAAAGGCCCGCAGTCCATTATTTCCCATTACAATTATCTGAGCAAGAAAAGGCAGCGAGAACGCACAAATATCAGCACTCATTTTTTAACAACTACAAATATCAGCCTAGATCGGACATGTATGTCACGAAATAAAGTTTCTGCGATACACCTCTCTAACTGAGTAATTACGATGTGAGACACATTTTGAAGCATGAAAGAATCCGAAATTAAAGGGGCGATGCAACGACTTTTGTATTTTGCGCAAATACCGCTTTGAACGGATCCCTGACGTTAATGACCTGTGAAATACCCGTCCGTTTTTCACCACACGCAATCGAAGTCGCAGAAAAAAATAAAGAAAAACGAGCAGAGTTTCCCCCCTCAACTCGCAGCCAGAACAAGCGGCCACGTGATCTGGAGCCGATTATATGCCGCCAATGTTGATCATAGCCACGCGCTAGGGTTGGCAAGGTACAGGACACGCGCTGCGTTCCAGACATTGTTATGGTTTGGCTGTTGTCGTCATTGCAGCGATTGGACACAGGACACTACCCGAATGCTTTTCGAGCTATAGATTGTCACGAGCCCGAATCGAGTGCCCACGCCATGCTCGGGTCCAATCTATGAGCCGAATTCAAAATCGTCACTGGGCGGTACTCCTACCGCCGAGCTACGTCATCAAGTTTTGCGAAGGAGAGATTGAATGAAAACGCTCGGGTTTTGTCCTCGAAATCACAGCGCAACAAAGGAGTTTCTTGGTCAGTGGCGTTGCGTGCGAGTATTCTTGAGTCCCACTAGTGCCAGTAAGCTCGTGTAAAGTGAATAACATTCCAATTGAATATCGTTGCACCGCCCCTTTAAGACCTATACCGAGAAATTAAGTCCAAAATAGAGGCTAGTTTCGGTTTCCCTCCAGAATTAAAACGCGCATCCTTGTGCAAATATTACGCTAAACACCGTTCTTGTTTTCAGGGTAAAGAGGTTACCTGCGCCCATAACACCATAGCTTGTTCGTATTACCAGAAATAATTTGCGTCGCTCAGTAAAGCCAGCACACTAGACAGGCTCAACAGCGGCAGGCATCTCCGACCCTCACTATAACCGCCATTTTGGAAAATGAGTGGCGCCACCTATAGTTAGTTGGAGTCGCGAATAGCTTTCGAAGCGTGGTTGCTTGCGAAGGTGTTACGTATTTGGCATATTCCAGGCAGGTGCTTGATGCGTAAGAGTATGCTTTGCTCAGGTTGTTCTATATAGTCCTCTTAGTTGGCGTACACTATAAGACACCTGCAGCGTTTACCGTCCCGCAAAGTACTTGAGAGAACCAATCGCTGTTTTCTACGGAGGGTGCTTGCCGAATGACGATTATGTAAAAAACAAAACAAAAAGAAAACAGTTTGCGTTGTGACATTGAGCAAGATGCTTAATGTCACAACTGCAGTGTAACAGGTCATACTGTTTTTTTTTTATAGATCTGAACATATTGTCAGACTCGTCGTTCAACGAGCCCCATCAGTAAATTGCAGCGATTGGTTCTTCCAAGTGCACTGAAGGAAAGTAGCCGCTTCAAATTTTTTAGGGTGTATACGTTGTCAGTTCTATACCTTAACGCTCGAAATAGAGCTACGAGCCCCAGGAAATTCACTTCCCGAAAAACGCGCCATAGAATGCTTTAATTTTGAGTGAGATACTCTATTTTAAATATTAATCGAAGAAAAAGAAAAGAATCGATAGAAAAGGTTACGTTAATCGCACACAGAAAAACCGCGTAATGCGCGGTTTGTTGTAATGTTGCTCCTCGGTGTTATCAAGGACCACCAAGAAGTATTCGGGCGTTCCATGGTATATATATACGTATATGTTAGCATGGCGTGCCTGCATGCCCTCTTTCCCATAAAACACGTGAAGGGTCAATCACGGTGATAGACAGTTCGCCTTCAGCAGATATAGAGAGCCTCCAGAAAACACACGCAGAATAAGAATGGCGCTTCGAACTTGCATTGTTCCTTCCATGGCTAGAAAATGCGCGACATGCGCAGGGATAGTGTAAATGACACTTGGGTTGCTCGTTGCCCCTTGCGCAGATCGGCCTTTTAGAGCCAGGCCGAATTCGGAGCCTCGTCACTCGACGGACGCGTTTCGCAGTCCTTGGACCTTCACGTGCTGTTTTTTCGCTGCATGTTGCGGAGGATCTACTAAAACTCCGATTATGTGACAGGCGCACCCCAGTCGCTCGAAAAGAGGCGTTACACCCCGAGGCGTCTTCGAATAGCCATGTCGAGTATACTGTATAGTCGCCGACGGCTTAAGAAACCCGGGGCGTTTCTAATTATGTTAATGTTCCTTGCTTCGCGATTGGTTATTTATTGGGCGCTCTTCTTGGCAAATGCGGCATTCTCATTGGCTGCGGGGTGATAATAAGATGCTCGGAAGTGGCCACGCCCTACATTTCTTCAGCTGCCAGCGATGTTGGAACTATAGATAAGAGAAGAACGCAATGGTCGGTGCCTACGTTTTGTACGCCGTGTCACAGTTCAATTTAAATTGTTGTCTATTTTGGAAGCGGATATGGAGGTTACAAGAAGGAATTTCCAGTGCATGACTTTACAGGGCACTAGAACTAGAGTATCTCTTGGTTTGTATCTTAAGATGAGCGTTATGGAAACTTAAGAGTGGCCGCCGACGTGTCGCTAAAAAGCTTGGCTCCTTCATGCACTCTACAAAAACGCCCGTGCGTCTGCTTTCCAGCACAACACTCGGGAGAGCCAATCACCGCAACTTAGGGAGGCAGCTCAGCGAATGACGACGCCGAAACATATATTTAGACCAAAAATGCAGTCTGAGTTGTGACATTAAGCATTGCGAATCGTCACGCCCGCGTTGCTTAATGTCACAACTCAGACTGCGTTTTTTGGTCTAAACATATGTTTCGGCATCGTCATTCGCTGAGCTGCCTTCGTAAGTTCCGGTGATTGGCTTGCCCAGTGTTGTGCGGGAAAGCAGACGCACGGGCATTTTTTAGAGTGTGCCCCGAAGAAGCTAGGCCGATATGCATAACGTCGACTAGCACTGTAAAGCTCCCAAGAGACTTTTTTTTTTTCCAGGTCATTTTTATTAGTTTTAAGTATGCGTTTTGTTGTGGCTAACACCCCACGATGACAGCGAACATCGCAAGTTCAATTACATGAACGGTACACATTGAGTGAATCCCCGACCGACGTGCTGCACATCGGTGCACGCTCGTCTCACTCGGCCCGCGCTCAAGTGCCTGTGTCTCCGTTTCTTTGCTCTCCTCCCGCTCCCCCGACGACGCAGAGCGCCTGCAGGAGTTCTACAGCAACGAGAGCAAGGAGTGCGTGAACTGTGGCGCCATCTCGACCCCGCTGTGGCGCCGCGACTGCACGGGACACTACTTGTGCAACGCCTGCGGCCTCTACTCCAAGATGAACGGGGCCAACCGACCCCTCATGAGGCCCCCCAAACGGCCGGTACGTCCCCAGTAGCCCTTGCTTCTTTTCGCGTCTTGCTCTCGCTTCAGCCGGATGATAAAAACAAAAACAAAAAAACAAAAACAAAAAAGAAAAAAGGGGGGGGGGGGGGGGCGTTCAGCACTGAGGACCGCTGCTCCATCACCAGACGCTCGGGTTGGGGAAGTCACTCCCTCGCGCTCTAAGAAAACTGGAGTGTCAACTTTCCCGCAAGGCACTTGGGGAAGCCAATCGTTACAATGCTGAAAATATGTCCCCTAGAACAATCCGTGGAAAATTCCTGGGCAATTGAGTAGCGCGTGAAACGTGTAAAGTTTATGCTCTCGGCGCTCTTCATTGGTTATAGTGTAGGGACTGGCTTAACGCGTGCCACGTATGCACTCGATAGCAATTCCTGGAATGAAGATACGGGCGCTAACCCGGGTTTTAAAAACGTGCCACAGGGTGGTCAAGTCGCTATCTGCCGGACGCGGGGCGGGTGCCCCACGGGGCTTTCTTGCCATTGAGCACCTCAACTCAAGGCGAAGTGTCGTGATAAGGTCCGTCGACTGTTTGTTGTGCAAAATGCCAGAAACTGTTGAGCACGTCGTTATATTTTGTTAGGATGACGTTTCTTTTTTTTTTTTTTTAAAGCGGAGCTGTTAAGGGTTCTTTTCTCAAGGATCGTGTCCGTCAGCAAACAAATGATGACACAGAACTCTGGACAGCTACCGCCATCTATGAGCGACAGCGGTAACCAGACAATCGGCTTGCCGGTTGTCTGGTTGCCGTCGTTGCACATAGATGGCGGCAACCTTTCGAGCCCTTCCACACTGGCTTGCCGACTTGCGGCCGGCCATTACTTCATTCCCACCATAGTACAGCCTCGCTGGTCTTCCTTCTTTACCAAAATAAAAAAAAAAAGCTAACTTTTTTCTTTTTGGGAAGGGGGGGGACGTGTTTAAGCTGTTATTAAAAAAAAAAAGAACGGTTTATCATCCCAAGAATGATTTGCTTTTTAACGGTGGAAGAAATGACGGTATCCCGTATGATACGCGTGTGCTCATTGGGTCATCTATAGCATTTGGAAAACGAAAATGGTGGTGCGCCATGCCGAACAGGATGCAAAAGAGGCATATATAAATTACCGTCTGTTCTTGCAACAAGTGGGAGTTGTGAAAACCCAAAAGCCTGTGCTAGAGTGGACAACCATGTTTGATGCAAAAACCCAAAAGCCTGTGCTAGAGTGGACAACCATGTTTGATGCAAAAACCCAAATGTGAAGATTTCAATCAACCACAAAAGGGGTGTTTTAACACGTGGCAGAGGTCCAACGCGAGGGCACTATGCGTATATATAAATTGATGTGTCGCGACATGTTTGAAAGACACTCGCTTGATAATGTCAATGGTCTGGGTTCAGTTTCCACCTGGCGCAAACGCTTGTTTTACTGCGATAACGCCCCCCCCCCCCCCCTCCCACACACACACTCAAAACCAATCAGTGTCGAGCCTCGCGGCCACGCTTTTATTCAGGCTTCAGTTTTAGGGCTCACAAAATGTCGAACACCTATAACCAAAAAACGTTTCACGTAAAAATAAAGCCTGCGCTGTGGCATTGAGCATGTTCTGCTATAGCTTTAGCTTAAGAGAATTCACTGACACCCCCAAAATATTGTGTTTTAATTTTTGCCAGGCGTTTCGTTACGGTGTGAGATAACAACCCAATCAATATTTTGCTGCAGCTTCACTTATATTTTTAATAAAGTCACAATACGCAACTGCTTGAAACCAAACGGAAACTGGAGAGTTGGCGGAAGTCACGTGGCTGTGCAACTTTTATTTTCTTGAATCAACGTGTTTGCGGCTTTTTAGAAGCCACAAAAAAAATGGGTATCATATTTATTTTTTATTTTTAATATTGAGTGTGTTCCTTCGATGACGCACGACTTTGATTGTCTTTGGTGGTCGTCTATAAACCATAAAAAACGACACGTGACCACGGAGAAGAGAGTGAGCGCGACTCGGACCGGTCAGTTCTCGATCGGCGGTTTTCGGGCGGAAAGAAATCGAATTTCGAGCCGTACATTGCATTGTGGGTAGTTGGGCTCTCATATCATATGCAAATAAAAACCTCGGCAAGCTTAAATACCCTGTCAGGGTCCCTCTACGCCAAGACGCAGACGAAGCTACGAACTATAGTGGGTCCAATCAAGTAGCGTGAAAAGCGCAAGTCACTGGGCCTTTCTTCTTTATGATTGGTTCGGCGATGATAAAACACATGCAGAAACATGACCGACACCATGATGATGCGCTTTTGACGCTGTCTGATTGGTACCATGAGTTCGTTGTGTCGGCTGCGTCTGGACTTTAAGTGAACCGAAGTTGCGTACACCTTTGTAAATTGCAGCGATTGGCTGTCTCATGCACTTTCCGGGAAAGTAGGCGTTCCATATTTCTTAATGGGCAGGATCATAGCCTCCTTTATATGCTCACAAAGCCTGGCAGTTTGACGACCGAGCCACAGAGTGCCCGGTCGCAAATTTGGAGTGCGAGGATCCGGTAGCAGAGTGCATTTCTGGTATTCGGCGCACAGCTTCTGCAGCGACGAGGACCCGAAACATGGTTTTCAAACCAGACGAGAAAAGAAGCGGTAGTGCGAAGAATGCGAGGAGCACGAGCGGACATTCCAGCGCTCGAGAGAAGTGTGTTTCGGCGTCTCGCCGCAGCGAGGCGCCCGTTACATGCCTCTGCTCTCATCCGTTGTCTGCCCAGTACCTTTTCATATTTGGCGGCCGCGTATCGTGGAAATCTGCAAGGCTTTGCCAGTATAGAGGAGGCTATGGTAGGATATATAGTGCAAAGACTAACTGCGGAGGCGAGCTGGTGGTAGCTAATTATGTAAGATAAAGATATAGTTTGAGTTGCGGGAAGCACATCCATCCTGGAAGGTTTTACGCTCACAAAAATCTTTGAGCCATTCCTCAGTGTTTGTTCCGCCTTGTTAGAAATAGACACTTCACATGGATTTACCACGCGTGTTACAGGCACATCGGAAGAAAGGTTCTGGTCGGTTCTATTTTCGCTTGTTCTTTCTTGCACGAGTGTCCTTTCTCTGGATGCTTCTTAACACAGCTCCTCGTCCCACGGTCCAAAGACTGTCAAAAAGTACCGTTTTGCCGGCGTTCCAACGTTGACAGTCCTGGTCATACTTGTATTCTTGGCCCCGGAGGATATACCAGTGTTGTCGCTGGCCCGGCGTAGTTATTCAGTCTTTCAACACCTGACACTGTGAACAGTCTCAGGTGTTATACGTCAGTCTCAGGTATTATACGACAATGATAAGATATATAGGGGGCGTATTCAAGAATTTTTTTTCGGGGGGGGGGGGGGGGGGGGTTAAAATGCTGGTGTATATTTTAGGATCGGCTTGGTTTGGGTGGTGGGGGCAGGGGGGGGGGGGGTTCTGAAGCTCCATAAGCCTGCCCCCTGGCTACGCCACTGGGCTTGGGTACATAGGGGAAGCCGACGTCTCGTTTAAAACACAGCTTCTCCAAGGCGCCAAAGTGAGCCACAGAGCAGAGTGCCAACCTCTTAGCTGCCACTCTGTGGGCGCTCCCTAGAAGTTTCGTTTCGAACCCCGACACTTGCCCTAATAGGATGCTCTAGACCATTTGATTTTATTCGCCGTCGGAGAAGCTCCGTAAAATATATGGATTCCAAAGTCCCATTTCAAAATGCCTCTCGGAAATATCCAGAGCCATAAATCAAGATGGCGTCGCTTGGACGTCGAAGCAGACGCGACTGCCATCGCAGATTCTGAAACGGAAGTTCAAAGTGAAGCTGAGAAAGAACTCTTTCCGCTTGTCTCTGACCAAGTTTCACTTTCCCTTTATTCGGTCACATTTATTTTTTTTTTTATTTTTCTTAATGCGACTAGTTTGGCAGGTGGATGCCCTGGAGATTGGCAGCCTGCGGCGGTGGCGGCGAGACGCACGGGCCTTCCCGATTCCCGCCCATTTCTGGCGCCGCGTCCGACCGTCCGCGCCGAGGTGCTGAAAATATGTCCTCCGCGTGCGTTCGTTCCACCCCGAGAGGCAGCCAATTAGAGGCCGCGCCGCCATTAACTTGCCCCGTCTGCAGATGCTGCCCGCTGATTATGCGAGCACGGCGCGCAGCCGCTGCGGACCGACCATTCCGCTTTGTCTGCCGCTCCCTCTCGCTAACGTCAGCTGGCAGCTTTAGGAGAGATCTTCCGGTAATGGCGTCTCGTCTGCTCCTCCGTCTCACCGTACGTTGGACCTTCGCGGACGCCAGGAACCAATCAAATCCCGTGTGGGTGTAACGTGACGTTCCAGAGAAGCGCAGCGGCGCAGGGTTTTGCGTAGATAGGCTCACAGTACTGGACTGGTTCGTAGCGTCCGCTGTGGTCCATCGTATATGAAATAAAACAAAGTACAGCTCGGCATAAAGCAAACAAAAACAAACATACAATGGCTCCGTCTGTACCTAGGGATCCTTTTAGGCTCATTCGGGTCCGTGTATGTCCGACGACGCGCCATCTGTCGCATTCTGTTTTATCTTAATGGCGAGATGTCATCTGCGTCCTCGAGTCGGACAAGGGACGGACTGGGACCGAACAGTATCACTTATCTCGTTAGAAAGGAGCGATTAATCCAGGGTCTCTCTCTCTCCCGGCCGAAGGCTTGCAGTTTGTCGTTTCCGACGGCGCGATATGCGACCGGAAGGCCGTGCCGCTTTGTTGCCGAATCGTGGGAAATTTTGTGTATTCCGGGAAAAACGTATACCTATATAGCTGCGAGGGTCAAAGGTAAACTTTATTCGAACGCACGCACAATTAAAGCGATACTTGTTTCAATATTTTTCTTATTTTTACACGCTTTAAACTTAAGTTCCCCATTGTCGCTGGGAGTTAATTTTATGGAAAATTTCCCACAATTCGGCAACACAAAGGGCTCGAACGTTTGTTACGCGCTATTTCAGTTGGAACAGCGTAAATTGTGTCTCTATCATGGGGGGGGGGGGGGGGGGGGGGGGTCATAAAACGATATCGAGTTTGAACGTTAGGCACTCTGAACGAGTATATTGATACAAGTGTGACGCGTGTCTAGAGAAATGCGGTTTATTGAAAAGGCGACAGAGTCAGCCGTGCACGTTGGGGCCCTCGCACGCAACGCCACGCAGTCTTCTTGCTAGCGCACTCTTAGAAAAGCCCGTGCTTCTACTTTCCCGTACAGCACTCGGAGGGCCAATCAGCGCAACTTACGGAGGCAGCTCAGCGAATGACGACGCCAAAACATATGTTAAGACCAAAAAACGCAGTCGGAGTTGTGACATTAAGCAATGCATGCGTGACATTTTGCATTGCTGAATGTCAGAACTCAGACCGCGTTTTTTGGTCTAAACATTTGTTTCGGCATCGTCATTACATGAGCTGCGTCCGTAAGTTGTGGTGATTGGCTCTCCGAGATGTGGATAGTTGTGTCCAACTATCCGGTGACGGGAATATCTCGAAAATAGTACGCGTGCCCCGTATTTTTGCGATGGCATTCGTATGCGGAGGGCAAGTTCGTCTGCTTCTTGCGCAGGGGGTAGCGGTGACGTCAGAACGCCGAGCCCTGATTGGCTGATCGCGACCCCCTATCTGAGCGTCGTCTGCTCCTTTGCTACGTCGTCTGCTCGCAACGTCGTCCACGTCTGTCTTACCTTTCCTACGACTTTCGGAAGTGCAGACGCCAGGTTCACGAAACGATCTTACCGCAAAAATGTGCGTAAGACAAAACTTAAGAACAAATTCGTATTCACGAAACGAAATTTTCGTAAGTTTTGCGCAGGTTACGACGAAATCCTACGACAGCTCCGAAGCTGACTTACGCACTTCTTACGATCAAATCAGCATGGCCGACAGCGTCGCGGTCGCGACGACCCACTGACGTTTATTTTTCTACGTGCGCTTCTCACGCGTCCCGACTTCAAGCAGCAAGAAAAAAGTTAAAACTAGTTGAAACACATTACGACGAACAAGAGCGCAGGATCCACAAACACCCGGGAAAAGCTCCAACGGCCACGATTACACCAAACACGACCAAGCGAGTACGGCAGTTAGGCCTAGCAGGCACTCCGCGACTCGGCGACCGTCTGCCCACAACCGGCTGGCGTGCTGAATGGAATATGCCCGCGCGACCCTTGTGAACCCTTCCCGCGTTATACTTTGATCGCTGACCTCAATTTTAGATTAAGAGGTCACTTTCTTCCTCTTGTTATCTCCTTGTTTCCCGAGGCAACGGTGACTCTCGCCGGTGAAAAAGCGGTGAATCTCCGACAGACGCAGGAAAGGTAAAGCAGCCATCGCTTTGACTAGCAGACGTAAAGCAGACGACGTTAGCTGCGCCAACCCGCCGACGCCGTTAAAGAATGAGGGGTCTCGCTGCACACGAAAGGAGGGAAAAAGTATTTGGGAGGGAACTTGCGGGCACTAACACGTTCACTCTCGCTCCTTAGCAAACAAACCTTGGCGCCTCGGGACACCTCGCCAGTGAGTCCTTTGACTTCCCTCCTTGATGCGCGTCTGCTAGTTGTTAGACATAAACAACGTACGGCTCGAGTTGTTTCGTCTGCCCTCTCTGAAAGGCGAAGTCGAGCTCGCTCGTAAAGACCTGCACTTCCGAAAGTCGCAGGAAAGGTAAGACAGACGCAGACGACGTTGCGAGCAGACGACGTTGCAAAGGAGCAGACGACGCTCAGATAGGGGGTCGCGATCAGCCAATCAGGGCTCGGCGTTCTGACGTCACCGCTACTTCCTTTCTCATGCGCAGAAGACGAAAATGAGCCCACTTGCGAGGCGTATAGGAATACGGCGCGGCGCCGCCTCTATAGCTTGCGTCAGCGTCGCCATCAGCGCGTCTTGCTGCGTCTCCCAACAAACGCATTGCTCAAAACGCACGCGTCTGCCGCTTTGCGGCGACTCTCGTGGAGCTTTAGCGTGTCTGCCGCTTGGGGCGGGTCGGGGAACCGCAGGCGATGACGCCATGTTGTCTTCTAGGTGATGTGGCATGTCGGCGGCACTATATCACGTGGCTGCTTGTTTTAGCTGCGACTTGAGATGATGAACGCTGCTTGCCTTTCTCAGATGTTTGTCTTTTACGTACAACTGCAAAACTCTAATATGCCAAAAAAAAAAAAAAAAAAGCCTAATTTGAGTCTGCGAGGTTATAACGTCAAAGATTCGTTTAACCTAGTATTTAATAAAAGTTACAAAAAGAATCGTAGCTTTACTGAAGCATATCCGTACACGTTCAGCGATGCTTTCTTGCAGAGCACGTGCAATTCGCCAGCCTCTGCCGGAGATGAACTGGGCTTCCATGTCACTGACAGCCCAAGATCGACAGGGCCTGGTCAATGCTGGGTCTGCCCTTCGTTCCATTCTTAATTCCCGATCCCACGCTTAGTGTTTCTTTGCGCGCTTGTGCGGCCACGTCTTCCCCTTTGGTTAAGTCCTGTGCCCTGTCTCTCCTAAGCTGTCAGTGAACTGGGAAGCCTAATCTGTTTCTTGAACTTGTACTATGTTCTTTTCAAGATTCCCGTGTACCATTACTTCGCATTCACTGGCCGTCATAATTAAGCACGCTGCCGCACAGCGCATGCTCAGAGCGAGCACCCACTTATACACAGCCTCTTCCCCGACGCTGCTGCAGCGTGCATTTCGCGCAACCAAAATCGCATTTCCCGCGACACGGTATCCGTGTTGCAGGAAATGCGATTTTGGTTGCTTGAGATGCACGCGGCAGCAGCGTCGGGGAAGAGGCTGTGTAATCTAAGATATATGCACCATTCCAATATCTACAAGTCCTCAGCCCAACGTGCGATCTCCTCTGCACACCACGCGCATGTTTGTCGCTTCTGAAAGTGAGCAAATCCGGCGTTATATGCACGAACACTGAAAATGGAACCGGCCAGGAGCCCTTTTTTTTGGAAATGTCCAGGGGAGCGGCTAAAGTTCCTCGATAAAATTCACTCTATGCGTTTCTGATGCCCGAGTCCCACTAGAGCGACAAACATAAACAACCGACACCGACAGGCGTCACACAGGTGCAGCAGGCAGGCGAAGGTATCTTTGGCAGGCTACATGCAATCCCTCGTGCTTACTTCACAAGCACCGGGAGCCTGCAAGCCCGCCACGAGTACCATCGCGTGTACGCTGCACGTGTTTACGGCTTGTCGATGTCGGCGGTTTCTGTTCGTCGCTCCGGTGGCACTCGAGCCTTAGGTCCGGGTCCCACTAGAGTGAGAAACTGCAACAACCGACAAAGACAAGCCTCAGACACGTGCAGCACATGCCCAATGGTACACATATGACAGGCTTGCAGTCTCTCAGTACCCCTGAAGACAGCACGAAGGATTGCAAGCTCGCCAAAGGTATACCGTAGCGTGCATGCTGCACGTGTCTGCAGTTTGTTGATGTCGGTAGCTTCTGTTTGTCGCTCTTGTGGGACTCGGACATTACGTGTACCGCCAACTATCGCTGTGGGAACGCGCAGCATACGTGCCACGGGCAAGTGCTGCGCCGCCATCCCATTCCGAGGACAGCACTACAGCCACTAGGCAGCACATTTGACACTATAGTAAAACGAACACAAACAGATCCAGGGAATCCGGGGGCTTTAGGAGCGAGCGGCCGGGCGCCCACGCATCCTGGCCACCGATCAAAGCTACGAACATTCAGTCTTTGCCTCGTCGTCGGAAATGCGTGCCATTATAAGTTCTTGGGCAACCTCACGATTGTATCCGAACGTGTTTATACGCCGACAATCTTAGCAAATGTCCCAGCGCGTTAAAGCCCATTTAACGGTTTAATTGCGTTGCACGGGCTTACGTTCAGATATGACGGCAGCAAAGTAGCGCGTAGTTCCCATGCCGATGATTAGACGTATCTCCTGCAGACGTATAAGGACCTAAAACGTAGTGAAGCATAGCAGAACGCCACTGCTTAAAAATACCGCATTTTTTTTCTTTGCTTTTTTTTTTTTTTAATCTTTCATACCAGTCTTAAACTAAGAGTTTTCTCCCCCTGCTCCGCTTGTTCCTCTCAATGTTTTATTGGAGCCGTCCATAATGCTGCCTCAAAAAGGGAAGGGATCAGGGCCTCCGAAAACGTGTTTGTAGTGTACAAATCGTGATCGTCATTTATCCGTGCTGATGTTGCTACCGGGAATTAAAGCACTACGCGCATTCCTCGAGCGGAGAGTTCTTTATGGTCGTCGTTAGTCCACCGCGCGCATCTCTGTTCATCTCTATTCTTTTTTTTTTTGTTTTTGTTTTTTTTTGTCGCTAATATCATTTTTTCTTTCTTCAGACGCCGGAGGCCCCCGACATACGCGGCTACAGATCGTTCACGAAACAGGTAAGTCGATCGTCGATCCCTGCATCACGCTTCTCCTCGCGGACCGCGCCGCTCGAAATGTAGCCTGTAGACCATAAACCAGAGAGCCAGATCGAAGAGAGAGAGAGAGAGAGAGCAACTCAAAATATGGAGAACGTTTGCAATTTAATAGCGGACGCCTTCTGCGAAGATTGGTCGCCAGTGCGCATGCGTTGCGTTGTCACGTGACCAGGTGGAAAGTGGACGGAGAGGCGGAGACGCTTCCTTCACCTCCTCGGCGTTCGTATTTAGCAAACGCGTCCCATAAACCACGTGATCACGATGGAGCAGTTGAAAACACTCTGGAATCTAGGCACGCCATCGTAAACCATGCGCGGGCTACTTTACACATTGTGGCGGCGGCTGCCCTGGGGCCGGTGGCCGTCCTTCAACTATACACCCCGTTCACGCCCATAAGCGTGAGAGTGTGGTGGAGGTTACGCGCTCGCCGGTCCAATCAGCGGCCTCCTTTTCATCACCTCATTTCTGCGCGTGGGTATGAATGGAAGCGTGATCACGTGCCGAAAGATAAACGAAGACGACTGTTCCGAAGAGCACGTAGAAATTCCACGGCACTGTCAGTTTAGGGGCTGAACAACGTAGATACTCCGGTTTGCTTGAGGACGAAGCGCGTGGGACGCTCTATGGACTAGCCGTCGCTGCCAATCGAGTGCTGTGAGTGTAGCACGTGACTCCGCGCCGTGTGCGCGAGGCTGCGCCCTTCCGGAAGAATCACGTGACAATCACGTGGCATTGGAATGGTTCTGATGGCTCGTAGCGTCCGTTTCGGGCCATCATAAGGTGAAACGGACTCATTTAACTCGGGGCAGTGGTTTTATTGGATCTTGAGCGGTTTAATGTTGCTCCACCCGTTATGATTTTTTCTTTGCCGGACGTGCGTAAAATAATATCCGATAACCTGTGAACTTCTGGGAGCTAATCCGCAATGGTATGAGAGGGTATTTTTAGAAGCAGCCGGCTAGAGAGCTTTCGGGGTCCATCTGTGCTGCGAGGCAATAGTTTATGAGGTTCGCAGGTCTGGCGAAAAAGCCTGGTTTGTTCAAAGAAATGTTTTTTCAAACATGGTGCGGAATCTTAAAGGTTTGTAGGTCTGGCGACGCAGCTTTCTTTATAGAAATGTGTCGTGACACATTGTGCGGAACGTTACGAACCTTTAGTGAAGACGTGCCAGCGTTGTAGCGATAAAGTTGAGTGTAGTTCCCTGATTGTCTTACGCCTGAAAACATAAGGAAGCGAGAAAACTAAGGAGGCAGCCTGGAATATAAATTATTTTGACGTGTTATTTTACGGTCCGAGGAACTGGGAATACGATAACAAGAAATGCGTTTTGAATAAATGCTGCCCTACTGGCACTCTGCCATTTAGAGAGCAGATCAAGATATTGGGGAAATGGAGAAGTTTTGCTGCATTTTTTTTACTACGTAGAGGAGTGTTTTGGTTCAAGATTCATTGAATTCGCACTTTTTATTCGTCTTGTTTATTGATAGTTTAAAATTTCAGGCTAAACTACGCCAAATTGCACAACCGCACTCTCAAGGCTTAGACTGCATGAGTTGCTACGAGTTTACGACAGTTGTCGCGATTATTTTATTAGTTTCCTAATAGCCTTCTTTTGGCTACGTTTGTTTAGAGCTTCTATACTTGGGTCAGTAACAGTCGTGAGTCGAGACTTTATAACGGAAAAAGTCCGTGCTCGCAAGTCTCAGTCAATATGCGGCGCCAGTGTGTCATGCATTTGTACCGGACTTTATAAATCGTGTAGCGTCCAGGTTGTAGGAAGCGTTCGAGTTGTCCCAAGCTTTCGTCAGCTTGCTCTCACAGTTCTTCGCGTCGCGCGGCGCACTGCGAGATCCTCGTGAGACCCCCTCGGATTTTCGAAATAGTGTATTGAATGCTGGATGCTCGCTTCTGTAAGAGACATTGTTTGACAAAGTGGGCATTCAACCTGTTTGAACTGTTGAGAAAACGACAATAAGTGTCTTACACATGCTGCAAGCGATAATGAAGCGACCTTTTGACTGTCACACACGTTGCTCCATCTTATACCTATCGGTCTGGGTCTCACGACGTCATCTTGCAAGCCATAGAAGGAACACAAGGGCCTCTTAACGGAACCTGGGAAGATGGCAAAAAATTAGGACATCTATGTCCTTCTTGAAGGATGCCCCTTTATCGAGACTCACAAAACTGGAAAGAAGGTCGGGACTCGAGAGAGCTTGATCGGAACAGGGGTTCGCCCTTCTGCGTTGATTCGGCTCGCTTTCCCGAAGCACTGGCAATATTTCTCAGGTTTGTCGTCACAGTTATATTGATCCAGGTTCTTCAAAGTAGGCAATGCCTATAAAGTGTTCACCCGTTGTAGCTCTGCTTCGTCTTTTAAACTCAACCTCACAACCAGGTTAGCTGTCGTACTGCACTGGCCACACTGTGCAACGGAGTCTTCTCACGTGACTTCGTTTTAAATGACGAACCTACAAGTCGTTGTTGAGGACCAAATACTTTAATCTAAGTTGGTGCCCGTGCACCAACTTAGCACATTCCACCTGACCACAAACTTTGATGTCACTATTTCAGAGAGAAAGAGAGAAAGCCTGAAAAGTTCCGATCGCATGTTTGTGCTTATGGTGGCCGATATCGGCCAACGTAACATGACTTCTTCGAACTGATATAATTGCTCAGATATAGTGCTCGGTGCGCTCTCTTCTTAGCAAGGCACGAAAGAAGTATGCAGCAATATATTTCCAGTGCAGACCAGAAAGCGTGTGGCACGTTCCAGCTCCGTCGTGCATTCTGAGTTTCTAACTAGAATATTTCGTAGCCGCTGACTGTATGGTGGTGCCCCTAACGTGCTTGTTTGTAATTGTTTACTATATAGCACCCTTCATAGTTCATATCTTCGTTTGCTTTGTGTTGAAAAAAAACACTGACCGACTTTACAGATAAGCTGTTGACTTGGTATCAAACTGTCATGTTAGTATAAACACGCACAAGAGACAGATTTTTTTAAAATCAACTGTTACCTACAACATCGTAAAAGAGAGACAAACCAACTCTTTTAGCCTTACGTGGGGTTCTACGTACCTTGTTCTCGCCGAAGCTTACATCAGCTTATATCGTTGTATCATTTCGCGGAAAAAGTTTTTGAATTGTTGGTGGCATCGTGCTACGTCCGGATCTAATTCACATTATACTAAGTTGGATTCCAGAACATCGCGCACGTTTGTGACTCCAAACGTTGACGATTAAACAAATCTCCAAAAGCGACTGGCCCCCTCCATCGGGCAAACACGATAACTCGGCTATGAAGCGAACAACCACCGCTTCCAAGTCGAAAAGGAAACAAACGGAACTAAATAGCGCCCACCCTGCAGAGACTCCCAGTGTCCCAAATAGCGTAAAGCAGCGGGAATCCATCACCTCTCCCATTCCGCCCCCCCTCCCCCTCCCCTGCTTGAAGTAAGAACTGTAGGGGAGGAAAGGGGGGGGGGGGGGGCGTGGGGCCTTTTAAAGGCAAATTACGCTTCTCTGTCGACAGAGACACACGCTTCCCGCCGTGGCGGCGACCGTCGGCGACACCGTCTGCCATTATGTCCCCCTCCGCGCCATAGTCCGCAGACGTGCTCCCCCCTCCCCCCCCCCCCCCCCCCCCCCCCCCCCCCCCACTGCCTCCCTCTTCGCCCATCCACTCTTGGGGCCCCCTCGACTACTTTCGGCAGTCGTTCTTGTCTTCCGGTCGCTTTTTTCCCCAACTGACACTCAACAGGTCCAGGTTGTCGGGCATTTCGGGGCCATCCGTCCGTCCGCCCGCCAGCCCGCTCGCCTCCTCCGTGGTCGCTGCTGGTGCGAAGTGGTCGCGCCTGGCGCCCCGCGCAAGAAAGAGGGGCTGCCCGCGAGACTTCATCTTTCATGCCGACGGGGAGACGACGCTTGTGTTTGTCTTGGTTCGTCTCGGACGGCCCGTCCGCGACATCGACGACTGCTCACCGATGGCTATCGCTCTCCCTCCCCGAAACCCGAGCAAGGCTGCTCTGTCCTCACTGCGTCGCTGCGTCCGCGTAGGACGTCGTTGTACTTCTTTTCTTTTTTTTCTCTCCCCTGAGTTTGACTTGGCAACTTTGCAGTCGTTGCGTTTTCTTGAGCTTCGTGTAATATACTCTATTCCACGTTCCCATTGACCGCATCGGATGCTACGAATTACGGAGCCAATCCAGTACCGTGGGAGTGTCAGGTGACCCTCCTGATGGTCACCTGCGTCAACAGTGCCCTGTTGACGCGTCCACGGCACTACCTCGGCTCGGGTGGCTCTCTAACGTTCGCTTCGGTCCATTTTAGTAGCTTGCCGGTTTCGAAATTATGATGCGGCGTTGGTTCTTCAGCGCTCGCTTTTTGGCCTTTATTATTTTGCGTCGCCCGTCATCGTCTTCTCGATGCCTGCAGCGCGAACCTCTTTGAGCCTGTTTGTCAGGAGCGCGGTGAGAACGGGTACCTCGGGGGCCTTCCGTAGGCAGCGTTATTCATCACTCGTCGCGAGCGAGGGCAGGCTGCCCGCTTTATCGCTGGCTGCCGCGTTGTGGGGCGCTGCTTCAATGAGCGTGACGACAGTCGGCTCTGCTCGGGTGGTCTGCTTAGCTTTCGCGACTGATGACTCTTCGAAGCGTGTGCTGACAGTCTAATCGCACGCATACTTTTTTTTCTTTCATCGCTCCAGCTTTACGCAACTAGAGCGTTCGCGATGATTTCCCGTGCCGTTTCGCGGCGCATTTCTAAGCGCGCTCGTAGAAAGACCAATGGGAGGCTTCTTCCGAAGGATTGTAGTACGGGTAGTGGACAAGTTATGCCAACGAAAGTTGTCGCCAACTAAAAGGTGCACGGCTGCTTTTATCGAAAGAAATGAACGACACATAAATCAAATTTTATATATATAAAAAAAAAAACCTTATTGTGAATGTTTTTGTTCCCCG